TAATATATAGAGAGATTATTTACACAATTACAATCTTATCACAATCTTATTCCTCATTTCATCATTTATTATTATTATTATTATTAGCCTCTACTCTGTAGTAGGTAGTTATAATAACTGAGTCAAATCACTTTCATCTGAAGAATAGGAAATACTAACAATTTGAATCAATAAAAATAGTTCTATGAGATTGGGTTGTTTTTTGATGTTGTTTTTTATTTTCATCATCACCAGGCAACTCAACACACAACAACAAGAATGCACTTTTTCACTCACAGTAAATCTGTAGGTGTGTGTGTATGTATGTGTATGAGAGAGAGAGAGAGAGAGAGAGAGAGACTGTTATTACCTCTTTTCATTGCTTGCCTTTTTCTGCCTGCTCTTCCAGTGTTGTAGTGATTGAGGGGTTGTTTACTCTTCAGTCCTTGCTTAGTGATTGGTTGTAGACTAGCATCATAACATAACATATTATATTATATTATATAACATAACACACATACACACATACACACACTCTCTCTCTGTTTCCTGGCCAGCTGCTGACTCGCGATGCTTGTTTTTGGCTTGTCTGGCTTTGGTGATTTTCCATTTTCCATTTTCCATGCACCAGCGCCAGCACCAGCTCCAGCACTTCTAATTTCTATTTTTATTTATTCTTTTTTTGTTATCTTCTAGCGCGCTTTTGTTTCCTTTTTTCCCACACACCTCTTATTAGTTAGTTAGTTAGTTACCTCTTCCCTTTTTTTCCCTCTTGAAGTAGTTAACTTAACTAACATACGGGATATATTCCGTCGAAATCCTCCTTTCTTGTCTTTTCACTCACCACAAGTTTGCGCTTCGACAACGTTCGAACATCCAAGGAAAAATACACACACTCTCTCTCTCTCTACTATATTCAACCCAGCAGCAACCTCGCCGCAGTGGCGAATGAAGGTGGTCCTGTCCATGAGAGCTGTGTGTTTGCTCCCTCTCTGCATAACCAAAGGCATTGATTGATTGACTCTTGTCTCTGTCTCTGTCTCTGTCCCTGTCTCTGTGCTTGTGCTTGTGCTTGTGCTGTCTGTTTGCCGAACTGCCACAGCTATGGGTAAGGAACGACAATGGGACGACGGCAGCCATCAGAACAGGCCTACGGAGACAAAGAATTATGCAGGGCAGCAGCAGCAGGAGCAGGAGCAGATAAGTGCAGCACTGCATGCAGAGATGCGCTACTCCCCGCCTATGGCTGCGAGGGGTCGCGGGGATGATGAGCAGGTTGGTGGTTTTATTTATTTTTTATTTATTTACTTTTCTGTCTAGATTTGTTTGGCGGGGTTTTCGTTTTTTTTCTTTCTTTCTTTCTTTCTTTCCATGGTTTGGTCTGAACCCAAACGGGCCATGTTATGATTTATTCCGGGGTAACGTTACTGGAACCATTCGAAGGCGTGGGGATTTCAAAGCCTCCTAAGGATCCTCCTCTCCTATCCTTGGCCTGGTTCTGAACTGGAGCTTTTTATTTTTATTTTTCCTTTGTTTTCCCCACTGAAGTTTGGAAGTTTGGGCCGAGTGGGGTTTTTATTTTTATTTTTTATTTTATTTCATTTCGATTTGATTTTGATTTGATTTTGTGGATTTGTTTTTCGTATGGTATTTATTGTATTTTATTTGTTGATATTGTGCTAACGCCCATCCATCCCATCCCGTGCAGAATGATCAACACCATCATTATTATTCAACTCCCTCTCACCGCTATGTTGAACGGCATCTCGGAACTGGCCGTGCAGCTACTAGTCCGGATGCTACCAATGGTTCTGCAGGGCGAAACTCATCTGCAAAGCGCAAACTAGTCAGCGCAAATAATGACACCAGTCTCGTGTTTAACTACGACTACGACTACCACTACCACTACGATCATGATGATACCCCAAAGGGCCCGTTGCATGCTATCGAAAACGATGCTACTACCAACACTCTAGAAGTTCCTGCACCCCAGTATGGAAATGGGAATGGGAACGGCAACGGCAACGGCACTTCTAAATCGTCGCCAAAGCGTATGCGCTCGAATGAATGGTTGTTGAAGAGCAGAGAAGTCAACGTGAGTCCCAGCCAGATCCCTGGTAGCGGGAAGAAGGATTCGACGAACTCTCGTCTGCGCTCGAGGCGGAGACAGTCTCAGGGCAAGTCGCAGAATGGTTATCGCTCCGTCTCTGCTTCTGCTTCTGTTTCTGCTTCTGCCACTGAGTCTGCTTCTGCCACTGCGGAGGGAGAGCGCAGATCTCGATTCCTCGAGGGCAGTATGAATGATCGCGTCAGTGAAAAGCCGCCCAGCAATTACATTGGAGAGGATGTAGATGATGCCATTGGCCGATACATGACTGGTGACGATGAAGAGTGCACTGGAGGGAGCATTAGTACGTCCGGCAGCCGCCCGGTATATGGCCATTCGTATACATCATCAACTGCAACTACAACTTCAATGAGCTCTGTGGCCACGGATACAACAAGTGCGAAACAATCTGGACTCCTCAGATTCGGACAAGCTATTGCCTCGGCATTTAACCCCTTTGGCGTGTGGAATAATGTTTCAGAGATCTGGAATGGGCCGCAGGACGTGACGAAGGCCCCCACTCCATCGGTGTCGACTGGTCCCAAAACGCACAAGGAAATCCTTGCAGAACGCCAGGTACAGGCCGAGAAAGCGTATGCAGAACTTAAGGCTGCTGGGTACCAAGGCACCGTGAAAAGCACCTCGGCAAGTTACAGGGGACATCCAAGCCAGGAAAAGGGCAGCGTCAAGAAATCAAAACATCCGTTCTTCGCCGCCCGAACGCCTCGGCAACAGCATAAACATAAACCCATTCGCTCCATTTCTTCTACTTTCAGCAAGGATAACCTCCTCAGCCCGTCGAAATCGGCGATTCGCGCTTCGTTTCAGGATTTGCGTAAAGCTGCGTCATATATCAATCTCCCGTTAACCCCGAAGCGTGGAGATTCCATCGATAAGGAAAATAATGCTATTATCAATGATGATGGCGAGGATGAGAGCTCTAAACATGTTCGAAAACAGGTGTCTCGCAGGCATCTGGAGAAGCAGCGGAAGTTGAGGAAGAAGGTTAGTAATTTGGAAAGTCAGCTGGAGCGGGCGAAGAGGCAGTTGAGTATGGTGTCGGGAGAACTAGTCGATATTGGCGACGAGAGCAAGAATGGGAGTAGAAGTGCAAGCGCAATGTCAAGCGCGAATGGCAGTGCGAGCATGAATGTAACTGAGGACGATGGAGAACTCGATTCTGCGCCGCCCATACCTCCCCCACATCGCGAGGGGATCAAAGTTGGACAGAGGAAGAAATTTGTCCCCGGCGCGTTGCCCTCACTACCCTCCGAGCGGATATTGCTTGGTCAGATGGCGGATAAGCCGACGAATAGGACGTTGTTTACCGGCGCAACACCACTAGGCCCTCGGGCTCTAGATGCAGAGGATAGAAATAAAAGTACGTCGCCTCATAGACTCAGGAAAACGAGGAAAGGGAGGATCGTAGCGCCTGCGACAAGCTCGCGACACACGAGCAATTCGACACTGGCATCGGACATCCACGGGAAGGAACATTGCGATAACGGCGCGGTTTCATATCCAGAAGAAGGAGAGGAAGAACGAGGAGAAGAGCATACAAGGCCCCTCGAGTCCTCGTCAGTCTCGAAACGGAACCCAGCAACTCGAAAACACAGACTCCAGAAATCCGCGCCATCGTCCTCTTTCCCATCCTCTTCGCACATGGAAAATACCCCTTCCCCTTCCGCCGCTTCCGCCGCTCGCTATAACAGCAATAACCAACCCAATCCCAACCCTGCCAACCCAAAACCCACAACCCCCCGCCGCCGCCGCTCCTCGACGACTTTCCCAACCAAGAACCCTACTCCTACCCCTACCCACAACACCTACAACAGCACCACCACCACAGACACAGACACAGACACAGACACACCTACAAGCACACAGCGCACCACAACCAACGCTCCCCCTCCCAAATACCAATCACGCCGCACCGGCAACAGCCCGCGACACGACCACAACCGTAGTCATCAAAATGACACCGATTCCGCCGATGCCGATGCCGATGCCCATGCCCATGCCGACGACATCCCACCCGTCCCGCCGCTGCCGCACAATATCGTGCTTGGCGCGAGTGCGCGACGGCGGCTGGAGATGCAGAGGGAGAAAATGGGGGGCCAGTTGGGGCGTGGGCAGGTAAAGCAGCACCAGCAGGAATTTGACTGGCCGGAGGACTTTTTGTGAATGGTCGGCTGTTTCTTCTTTTCTTTTCTTTTTCTTGTTTGCTCGTGGTGTGGTGGAGGATGGGTGTCGCTGGGTTTCCTTTTAGGGGAGCGGTTTCTCACTTCTGTCTTTTTTTTGTATGGATGGCTCCTTGTGTGAGTTTTGTGGGATTGATTGCTTTATTTCGCATTTTAAAATAAATGTGTTAGTAAATCTTGTCATCTTTCGGGGGGTTGTTTATAAGGAAGGGTGGTGAGGGAGATAGATAGATGTTCTCTGATTGAATTTTTTTTTTTTTTTTTTTTTTTTTTTTTTTTTTTTTTTTTTTTTTTTTTTAAAATTTCCCCCCCCTTGTTTTGGGGCAGTGGGACAAACATGTATGTATGGTCTGGGAGCTGGCGCAATTTTGATGTTGATTGGATTCGGGGGGGGGCCATATAGTATAGGTATTTGGAGGATGCGAACATGTCAGTTTGTTCACCTTTTAGTTTCCTCTTGTCTTGTCTGGTGGTTTTTTCCCAGCCCGTCCGAGTTTCCTTACTCTTCTCATTGCCCGGATAGTGTTTTGAGTTTTGGTGTTGAGAATTGGACTTTGTTGATTCTAGCGATCCATTTATCACGAGTGGGTTGGTTGGTTTGTTGAATGAATACTGGTTTAAATGATTTTGAATTTTTTTTGTTTGTTTTCACATTCTTTTTGTTCTGTCATGGGAAAAAAAAAAAAAAAAAAAAAAAAAAAAAAAAAAAAAAGATCAAAAGAGCGATTGGGTGAGTGACTGCTGATTTTTTATTAAACTGAATTAAGAATGCTGAGCCATCCCATCCCACCCCCTAAAAAGGGCCGGCCCACGTTCATCTACATACTGTACTAATCAGATGTTTTGATGCAAAATTTCGTTGACAGGTCAAGCAGCTCTCTCCAAGACACTCCACGCCGCTGGGCGATTCAAAACTGACTCGATAGGAGAACAGAGAATCATCAGAGATAGAATAAACCACCCACCCAACCCGGCACGAGAAGTAACAATATGGACAAGACAACCCATCAACCCCATCAAAATAGTTCAAAGACGAAAAAAGAAAATGTTAAAACAAGCCAGGAAGCAAATCACAGATACCATCGGAAATCCTCCGAAGCCGGACCATCTCTCAACTTCTTCGTCGACACATCCCGCGCCTTGATGCTGAAGCCCTGCCGGCGGTCGCGGCGCTTATTATCCCACAACATGTAAAAGCCCAGGCAGGCCACGATGAGCGCGCCCGCGGCGCCAAAGGACGCGGTCGTGATCAGCGCAGGCTCGTACTTGGGCTTGTCCTTTTCCCGGAAGATGTTGCTGCTGACGATGCCCATGACGTTGGCGAGCGGGATTCCGACGGAGGTAAGCATCATGCGGCGGCCCTCGTGCGCGATGTTGTTGTTGTACCATGTACTCAGCAGCACGGAGGGGGCAGAGGTACCCCACGTCATCATGAAGCAGGCGAAATAGGCCACCTGGATCTGGGCCTGGACGTCGTCGATGGCAGCGTAGATGATGAAGCCGGTGAAGGTGAGGACGAAGCCGAGGACGATGAAGGGGAAGCGGATGCGGGCGAAGTCGGACGAGAAGGCGAGGACGAGAAGCATCACGGCGCCGGTGCAGTTGGGGGCGACGGTGTACAGGTTCGTTTTCACGGTGGAGTAGCCCAGGCGCTGGATAATTTGGGGCATGAAGAGGGCGACGGATTGGATGGGGATACCCAGGCAGATCTCGACGGCAAGGAAGGCATATGAGATCGGCTGCTTGAAGATGCGGACTGCTTCGCGGAAGCTGAATTTCTCGTCGACGACGGAACTGGAATCGACCTGGATGCGGTGGAAGGCCAGGGCTTTTTCCTGCTCGTTGAGGAACTTCGCTTTGGCAGCGCTCAGGGGCAGGTACCAGTATGCGAAGACTGCAAAGATAACACTGGCGGCTCCTTCGATGAGGAAGAGATAGCGCCAGCCCTCCAGGGAGGTATTTTCGATTCTGAAGACGGCGAAGGAGAGCAGGCCCGAGAAGGCGTTGGCGATGTTGGACGCCGCATAGAAGAGCGCGAGACGACGCGCGAGCTCACCACGTCGGTAGAAAGTCGTCAAATAGTAGATCACCAGTGGGAAGAAGCCAGATTCTGCCATCCCAAGGAACCAGCGCAGGGCGAACATGCCGCTGAAGTTCTTAGCGGTGGCGGAGAGAAGAGTCATTAAGCCGAAAGTGAACATAAGAATGGGTAAAACGCGGGCAGGGTTGAACTTTTTGCCCAGCATAGCAACTGGTGGAGCGAAGATCACATAAGGGACAAAGAAAATGGAGAGCAGAAGGTTGTATTGGCCCTCCTTGAAGTTGAGATCTATTTTCCTCTAGCCGTTAGTTTCTGATTTTTGTGTTTCAACGGAACCGACAGAGCGGCGGATAATGGGATTTTTTTTGCCCCTTACCTGTGCTCAAACCATCGGTCTGGGCATTGCCCAAGTTGCCTTTATCTAGCGCATTGAATAGATCTAATCAAATATGGTCAGCTCGACAGTGTTCGCGGATGCCATTGCGCTCTGGGGTGAATTCTTTTCTTTTCTTTTTTCTTTTCGTTTTCACTTACACATGATAGCCAAAACAGGCATCAGGCGGACATCAAACTTCCTGCATAGAGCTCGCTCTGCCTTGTGGTCCGTGATGACCGCAGTGGTCTCATCGTATTTCCCGTCACCCTGGGATGAGTTCCTCTCTAGCTGGCCCGCGGACTCGTAAGCCAGCTCATCTTTGGAAATGTCATCGACCGCAGTCTTGTGGTCGACTGCTGCTGGTTTATCCAAAGTCATGTCGGATTGATGCCGGATAGGGTTTTTGTAATGGCAGATAAAAGGACGAGTGAGTCTCTTTTGAATAATATAATAAACCTGTACCGGTGGTTCGGTAGCTAGGTAATTATTTGCTGAAGGGGGACTGAAAGACAAAGGATGTAGGGGGGAGGGGAGGTGGGGGAGTTGATGGCCAGGGATCAATGCCTCTGCTTCGCAAAGATATAGAGCAAGGTTGTTACTCTGAAAGGCCACGAGGATTGAGAAAAAAGGGAGGAGAGCTGGGGGGATTTATATATACGCGACAGATGATTATTTCGCCCTAGCTTACGATCTTCCAAGCTTCCTATTCACGGGGAATTAGGTCGAGGAGAGAGAAAGATACACCCTTTTTCCCAGGCTACTATCCAATGGTGTTGGACAGACACACGAGGAGATTCGCAGCGTAAGCGAATAAGTCTCTCTCCCTTCCGCTCTAGCTGCTGGGTGATAACGAGGTGGATGAGCGGAAACTCTCTCTCCTTTCCCTTCCTCAGTCAGATATTGTTGATCAGAAATCCTGAAGGCTGAAAGCTAGCTGAGATAGAGCTATGACGGCGGGCGTGGGGGTTAGTTAGCTGTGCGCTTCGAGGCCCGTCAAACGCCCAGGTTGCCACATGTATCATATCATGTACGGAGTATGCAGCCCACCTTTCGTAGTCCCGTCCCGTCCAAACCTGAGAAGAGGCAGATGTTGGGGGTCCATTTTCCCTCCCTTCCCCCCCAGCCGAGAGTATCGCTGGCAGGCGGTCAATTTACTTTCCCCCTGGAGTGGTACCGTTTGCGGGGGAGAAGAGCTATTCGGCGAACAGTTTCCCTCAAACAAGATACCAGCGAAGTCAATGTCTCCGGCTAATGGTTTGATTGGTACGCCCAGACAAGCGGGGCGCTTCTAGCGGTTTTCTGCGACGGCGGGAAACGTAGACCAGGATCCAACTCCGCGTTTTGGAGGCCAGACAGCTGGGGGCGCCCTAGCTAGCGCTGGTGTGGGGAGAACACGCGGTGGTGGTGGAAGTTGAATCTTCCTTCTTCCCTTCCCTGGCGGCCAAGAACGCTCGGCAGCAGAGAATGAAACGAGGTGGCCCAACATCATCAAGTAACCTTACGGGAAAAACGCCAGAAAAAAAGTACTCCGTCCGTCGAGTTTTACCTCCTCCACGACAATCTCCTGCTGCTGAGAAATTTTGAGCCTTGTCTCCAGTGATCCGAGCTTGCTTAGTGCTTCGTGGGGTGCTGCTTGGGGGTTGGAAAGCCTTAATTTTTATACTCCGCCGTATACTCGAGATAGAAATGGACAAAGGATTGATATGATATTTATTCATACAAGAAAAAGAATAAAAGTTAAACATAATAAAAATAAAATATTATAAAAATAAAAATAAAAATAATAAAATAAAATAAAATAAAATAAAATAAAAAGCATCTGCAGTCAGGCCCATGTTCACTCCTTGCTCAACTTCCAGATTGAATCCCACCCGACTCGCTCATGCAGATCTGCTACAGCTTTCTCCCACTCTTCTTATCTTCTTCTGTTCATGCATGTTCATACACATATATGTAATGTACTATCAATTAACCTGGTTTCTTCAAAGAGAAAAGATAGTAAAATTACTACTATATTGATAGCAATTGTCAACATATGCAGGGCACTGGGATACCGCATATATATACTGTAACAGTGTCCATCTTGGAGGGGAAAAAATATAGAAAAAAAAATCATTCTGCATTCATTTTGATGCTACCCTACCTCATCACAACCTCATCATTGAACGGAGACAAAAAAAAAAAAAAGAGAACACTTGCCGGAATGTAATCTGTATGCATGGCATGTTTCATTCTGGATAGTCAGTCTACTTTGTGATATTGTTAGCTGGGGGTCACAGGCGGTAAGACTCCCCTCGTCGCTCGCTCTGCCTCTTATTATTGTAATGGACTGGGGTGTGAGGTAAAACTAATCCACACCGGTTCCATATATCTGCATTATTTAATTCAAGGATGTGGTTGTGAGCAGCCCATTATTCTCTAGACATGAACAAGAAAAAGTGCCAGCGAGGCAATTTTCAGCAAGGGAGATTTTTTGATTATTTTTTGATATTGCTGTTTCGTTTTGCGAGCTAGTTCTGGGGATATAAAATGCTGCCGCGTCCTTGTACGCAGCGTAGTTACCATTGAGAGAGCAACTGAACTGGCTGAAAAAAAAAAAGCAATAATCACGCCAATGCGTTTAGTTCGCCAGCCTCATCGGCCCAAAAATGTGCCCCCCCAAAGCTTAACAGAACAATTGGTCTGGTTGGGGACATCAAATCACATCACTTTGGGGCCCAGGAGAAGCGAAAGGGACAGCAAAATGCATTTTTAGAAACTAGTTGAACAAAAACAATAGAGGAATGGGTATTCCCAACTGCAGAAGACCAATTTATAGGAATTTCTTACAACCCTCCACCATATATGTAATCGAGTCCTTGCCCGCCTGCAGCACTCCATCCATCGCCAGGAACGGATGAGGCATTCCCTCCATAACATGCAGGTCATAGTGCACGCCGGCCTTCTTCAACTTCTCAGCATACTTCTCTCCCTCGCTCCTCAGCACATCAAGCTCCCCAACCATGATGATTGCAGGCGCCACGCTAGCCCAAGTGGGCGAGTCATCGGGATAAAACAGCGGGCTGGCTTCCGGGTTCGCCCACTCTGATTTCTGGGGCAGATAGTGGTGTCTATACCACAGCATTTTGGCGGCGGGGAGTGCGGGGATGTGCTCGTAGTCGCGGTAGGAGGGGGTGTTGCTGACGTCGGCTGTGTTGTCCATGACGGGCACGCTGAGTAGCTGCACTTTCAATGGGGAGAAGTTGCGTGCAACGGCCCGATGCGTCATAACGGCGGCGAGGTTGCCGCCTGCACTGGAGCCTCCCACGCCGATGCGCGAGGTGTTCAGGTTAAGATGCTTGCCTCCCTCTGCCAAGGCCCAGAGGAGGGCTTCCCAGCAGTCGTGCACGGCGGCGGGGAATGGGTTTTCAGGAGCGAGTCTGACGAGCGGGGATTTAGTATAACAAAAAAAGAAAAAAAGAAAAAAAGAGAGAAAAAAAAAAGTACTATCATTCTCGCACGCAATTAAGAAACGAAGAAAAAGACCAACCTATAATCAACAGTAATAACCACACACTGCGCCCTGGCGCAAATGTTCGTACAGACAACATTCTCCGTCTCAATATTCCCAAGCACCCATCCGCCGCCGTGGAAGTAAACAAGCGCTGGCCACCCGCCCTCCGGCGCCTTGTCCGCGATCGGCGTAAAGCATCGCACGTTCACGTCTGGGCCTTCGCTCTCCTTGCGTTTAATGGCGATGTCTTCTTGCTTTCCCACTGGTATCAATGGGCCAGCGCCTGGTATTAGGACGCCGGAAGTGCGCGAGGCAGCAACGGACCGGAGATGTACCTGTTCCTGGTTGATGATGTGTTTGTTATAGAAAGCGACGTATTCCGGGTGGATTTTTGAGGCCACGGATTCGTGCAGCGGGTATGGAGGTGGCATTGTGACAGAGATGGAAGTGGGTTGTTTCTTTTTTTTCTTTCTCCCTGGTTTTTTTGCTTTTTGCTCTGTTTGTTCACACTATTCGGTTTCTTTTCTTTCTATCTCCCTTTTTTTCTTTCCTTTTTATTCCTAGAACAGTAGAATGATATTTTCCCAGCGTCGATGGTAGGGCAATGAAACGACGTGATAGTCTCTACGTTATTAAAGCCAAAAGATTCTCCAGCCTCGGGCCGACCGCTCGCTGGCTGATGCAAAAGCATATACTGTATGTAGTGGAACCGCTGCTGCTGGCAAGTTGGCAACCCACTCGACCCCCAAATAATCATGTATCCATATGTTGTGCTCGTGAATCTTCGCGTACCCTGATTCTCGGCCCCCAGCTTGATCTGACAATTACCAACAACAAGTGTTGGGCATCCATCTCTTACCCGGCGAAGCTAGCCAAAACTTTCATACTTTGCAGATTCACATATGCCCCTGCGACAGAGGTTCCCCCTCCCGTTCCCCTCCCCCCCTCCTCCTCCTCCCCCCACGCTGAAATTCAGCGTTCACGCCTTCTCTAGTGTGGGGGAAACATTTCTGGGGGAAAGATGTCGAAAAGTTCATTCGCAACAAACACGATTTCCAAAAATATCGGCGTACGAACTGGATCAAATCCCATGGCATCCCACCGACAAAAGGACGTGGGGGGTATGTATGTATGTATGGCGTGTGCCTTTGGCCCTTTGGTATGTAATCACAGCCAGGTCTTTTCATGTGTTCATGATGGTTAAAGCTGTCGGCGCTAAAGGAGTTGTTGGCCTTGCTCGCTGTTGGATATGCCGAGCCCCCCCCCCCGTGCTTCGTGTGACCAGCCACAGGATGTCGGTGATGTGTTTTTTGAGGTTGCTTGTCTGTTCACGGTCCAAAATCTCACACCCATCGCGAAGCTCAATCAATACTAGTATAAACACTGTGGGAGCTAAGCTTTTTGTTATTGGGGGTTAGAGTGTTTGATTTCTCAGGAAAGCTTAGGTAGTGTCCACGGGTATTAGAGCTTGCTATCCTCCGCCGCGTATAGAACCACCGTTGCGGGTAGAAAACAAGGGGAAAATTAAGCCAGAAGAAGAAGAAGAAGAAGAAGAAGAAGAAGATTGTAGCCGATTGACTCCAAGAATTTTCACATTATTACCTGGAAAACTACGCAGTTTCGTCGCATGGGAGTCTCACCTTTCAGCCAGTAGATCTTTAGTTATGTATGTCAATACCAAATTGGGAATCTAGCCCTAACTTCCCAGGGAATATAAGTCTAAAAATAAACTGCTCATTGTCTGCCCCCATGCCTTGACATTCTTGACATTCTTGACAGTCTTGAGTCTTGCCCTTCCCTTCCCGACGTCGTATCTGCTTCTCCTTCAGGCAATAAGTCCACCCGAGCGGGTTTGCGGGTTACATCACTAACTTCCCTCTCTGTTGCAGAATCGAAGGGTTTTTTTTTGTTTTTTGAGTGAGAGAGGGAGTGGAGAACTCCGAACGACGAGCGGCGCGCGCGCCGCTTCACTTGTTGACCCCGCGGGCATGAAGATCACTTCTTGGGATGGGATGGGGGGTGGTTTGGACGTACACAGTACGCTTGGTGCTGGACTGGGATGTTTACAGGGCGGCGGGTGAGTGAGTGTGCAAAGAATACTTACTTTCCTTTTCGGGTTGCTCAGTTTTTGACGGAATTTCTCTTGAAAACGTGATGGATCGAATCGGCGCGTGGTGCAAGGACGCTTTGGTAGTTAACTTAACAGCTAACCAACTATCTATGAAAAGTCCAGGGGCTGGCTGTCTCTCAGCAACTGCATGTGGCCTATTATGATATTGGAGACTTGGATGGTTGACTGGGTGTGTCTTTGAACGACCTACAACTACATACCTACCTTGGCATATCATATCGTACTATACTACAGTCTATGTAGTCTATACCAACCATACTTGCATAAATCCCCCCACAGCCGGTAAATGTAAACCCACCCACCCTCCCCTTCCCTCCCTCCTAGCTCTCTCTCTCCTGCGATGTACTGTGCATATACATACATACATACATACTTTAGCGAACCCGACCGAGTCCTGAATCAGCCATCCTATCCTATCCATTCTCAAGCCCATCATCAGAACGCCGATGGATTAGCCGTGTGTGGCTTGTCTATGCCGATAGGAGGGCGCAAGGGAATTCTTGGTGGATTGCGGGCGTGGGATGGGTGCGTGGGGTTGCTTAGGGTGCGTGGGGGGAATGGGGGGGGGGGTGTGGGTTCTGGGCCGGCATTCGTATTGGTCGGGTGGAATTTTCTTGGAAGTTTAGTTACTATGTAAGTTACAGGGACTAGGACTAGTTCCATCGCGTTTGGAAATAGGCGAGGTTTTCTAAAATTGTTTAAAATGGATGCGGGTTGGGTTGATATTATCCCTGGTCATTTGTTATTATTGTTCGGGCAAAGGGGTGAATTGATTGGGGTGTTCAATGGGGGTGGTTTCTTTTTCTTTTTATTTTTTATATTTTATTTATTTATTTATACTTTTGATATTCTTAAAGTATAAAAATTTCAGAATGAAAAGGAGTCATTGGCTGAAGATCAAATAATACCTTCTCATATAGGAGAATACTTCCAATTGAGTAAAAAGGCCGTGAATCTTATTTTATGCAACATGCTGAGTTAATGAATGCCACTGGGCGCACGTAAATATGCTTTAAAACATAAAGAGGAATTCCAAACTCTCAAAAGAAAAGGGGAAAAAAACAAGAAAACTAGTTACAAAAGAGGAATCCAATCAAAAAAACAGAGTAAATAACCCCGTTATAACGAGCGCTCATACTCAACAAGCTCCCTAAACTCCCTTTTATAGCTTTCCTGCATCGACTCCGTCGGTCTGGGCAGCGGCTTGCGCGCGAACCCACCGTACCCCAGGTGCGACTTCATCGCAGATTTAATCCCTACCACCCCCCCCTGAATAGCCGCCCAATCTCCCCGGGCCAAAACCTCCTGCGCACTGCGCGCTTCCGCCAGCTTCCCTTGCGCATACAGATCCATTACCTGCACGCACGTCTTGGGTGCAATGTTGGCAATGCCGCCGATGATCCCTGATCCCCCGCTGATGAGCGTTTGTATCGTAAAGTCTCCTGAGCCACCGAGACATAGGAAGGGGGCTGGGGAGGATTTGTTGCTGTTGTTGGTGCTTCCTTGGGCGGCGGCAACGCGGTTCAATTTACCCGTGTTGCCGCAGGTGAATTTGCACCCGATGATATTGGGATGTTCGCTCAGCGCGATGATGGTATCGGAGTCCAAATCTAGCCCTGAAACGGCCGGAGGGTAATTGTATATGATAATCGGCAGCGGGGACGCATCCGCTACGTCACGGAAGAACTGCAGCACCGAATCTGGCAGCAGGAGCGCCTTGTAATACGACGCGGCGAGAACCAGGGCGTAATCAGCACCGGCCGCATGGGCCTGCTGGCAGAGCCTGATCGTTTCCCGGGTCGATTGTGCACTACAGCCGACGATGAGAGGCATGTTGGGGAAGCCGGCGCTATCTAGTGCTTTGCGGGTGGTTTCGATGGCCGTGATGCGTTCCTCGTTGGATAGATGGACGGCCTCGCCGTTTGAGCCGTGGACGGCCAGGCCGGTCACGCCAGCTTGTGCTAGATTGACGGCATGTTTGCCGATTGCCTGCGTATCGAGATCCTCTGTTTCGTCCTCGAAGAAGCATACGGTTGGCACGTAGACGCCCGGTTGCAGTGGGCGATGGGGTCGGTCGCTGCCGTTTTCGCGGGTTTCTTTATGAGTGGATATTGGAGACATATTGACAATCGCAGAGGAAAGAGGTTTTCAATCGTCTGCGATTTTTCTTATTTTTGTTATAAAAGGATATAAGATGCTGGAAAACGAGGGTTGAGATTTAGAAGATCTCTATTGGAGGGGAACGAATGGGGGGTGGTTGAGAAAGTGGTCCCTTAAAGCGAATGTTAAAAAAAAAAGAGAGAGAGAGAGAGAGAGAGAGAAGTGGTGAGGTTGAGGTAAGGACTAGGTAGTTACAGTAGATGAGTAGGTTGAAAGTTGGAAGACAAACCACCAGATAATTCCTGCCGAGTCTAGAAAACCGGGGAAACAAAGTCGGCAATAGATAGTAGAACCAGATTCACTGAGGAGATATCTAACTACCAGAAAAAAAACCGGAGTGAATAATGGAGAGTTGAATCAGGGGGGTGCTTGATCAAGAGCCATTATTTCCATCAGGGGTTCGACGGAAGTTTGAAGGAAAAAAGGAGCCAAGGGTCACTCAGTCCGCATGGCATGATATGATGGATGATGGGTCCGACCGGCTATGTGGATGTCATTATGATTCAAAGAACCCCCATCCATCCCTCCCCTCTCCCCAAAAGCCCGTCTCCTGATGACCGAAAATTATGTAAATAGGGAAAATGCCCGATGCAATTTGCCACGGCTGGGGAAGCACATATCTGACCCCCACGCCGTTCAGGTTGGCTGGTGGGCAGGAAAAGCCCCGAGCCCACATCGGCGGTAACAGCGTAGCGGAGTTTTCCCCCAGCGCGCCAATTATGGTCGTTTGTGGCTGGACGGGGCCTAGTAATTAGTGAGGGATTGTGGGCGAACCATCAGGCGAGTTTGCTGGTGGTGCTGTTATTGGCGGGCATATGGGGGTGGCGGGGAAATGGGGGAGAGGGTTAACTAGTGGTTGCACAACTAGCTACTGCGTAGCTTGTGGAAGCGCAGGCTTTTGTTTCAGCTTTGTGTAGCCTGGGAGAGAGAGATAGGTGATGAATGATGGGGAATAATAACCACTCATTTGTTCAGGGCATGGGCAGTGCGGGGGGAGAAGGGGAGAATAGAATGGGAGCTGCATGACATATTCAAGAGTTCAGAGGAGGAATGGAGGAATACATGGAGAATCCTTGGAAGGAAAAATAAGTTCTGGACCGGACATCTTTTTAGAACTGCCAATTGATTTTGATTGTGTGTTGTTATTTTTATGTGTTGAAGACGTTAAAAGACGTTGAAGACGTTTGAAGCTGCAGCTAACTAACTAGTCGCCGAGTTCCCCTCGTGTTTGAACACGGGAGCTTTCCCTCTCCTTTTTTTCCTCGCTGCTTCCAACTTCTCCCTCCCTTCCTAGAGACATGATAGCATGAGTAAGTACGGAGTACAGCGTATGAAGTTATTCAAACAAGTAAAAAAAAAAAGCACTTGACTAGGTAATACAGAAGCATTTTGCGCACTGCAGATATTGAAACTATTATTATTAATAATTCCCAAACAAACATATGGTCGTGTGATCTCATATTTCTTTTTTTCTTTCCGCTTCAGTTTCTTCTTTTCTTTTTTTTCTTTTCTTCCCCCGCTGTGAAAGAAAGAAAAAAGAAAGAAAAGAAAAGGAAAATGTTCACATTTTATATGTAGGCAGAGCACTCTATTTCAACATCCGTGCCCAGCGGGAGTGCCTTAACAGCCACACAGGTTCGCACCTAGGAATTTCCGTCAGCTTTTTGTTTTAAAAAGAAAACAAAAGAAACCCAAAACATAAGAGAGAGAGAGAGAGAGACCACTTACAGGCTTAGGCTCTTGGCTCAGGAACTGGGCATAGATTTCATTCATGGCGGCAAAGTCTTCCATGTTGGCAAGGAAGACGTTGACCTTGATGGCCTTCTCTAGGCTGGAGCCAGCTTTCTCCAGCACAGCGCTCAGGTTGCGGAATATTTGTGCCTAGCAATATACAGTACAGTACAGTCAGTCGAACCAACCCCCGCGCAAGCTATTGTTGTTGTCGATGATGCGAGAGGGGTCAAAAAAATAATTTATGAATCAACTATCAATTAGATAGAGGGGAGGGAGAGAGGAGAAAGAAGAGAACAAGTAACATACGGTTCTATCCTGAACTGTACCCTCAACCAGCTTGCCCGTGGCCGGGTCCATTCCCACCTGGCCAGAGCAGTATACGATTCCGTTGTGAACAATGCCCTGAGACAGCACGGGGATAGGCGCGGGGGCCTTGTCGGTCAGGACGACCTGCTTTGCGGATGCCATGTTTTATTTATGGCTTGGATGGATCAAGGGAGGGAGAATGGATGGTGCTAAAGGGCTATTCAGAAATGACAATGAGGGATAATGGGCTGCTGGAGAGGATAGTTTCTTAAAAAGCCTTCTTCTTTTTTTTTTTTTTTTGCGCAGAAGAGAGTTCGATGATCCCTCGTCGGCAGAACGAGGGGCAAGTAGTAGTGGCAAGGAGAAGAAGGCGAGTGGGAATCACGAAACTGTTTAAATCTCTCCCACGCAGCGGGCACGACGTGGGGGTTAAGTAAGTAACTACATTACATTACTACGAGATAGAGATATGATATGACGACAGCAAGCTTCTGTGGCAGACAGTCAGTCCTCTCTTTCTTTCTAATCCAAGCAAGTCCTGTAACTCCTAACTAACTTTTATTAGTTATAAATTATACAGCTGAACTCAGGTGCGGGGCAGAATTGCCGGACACATCGGACATAGCTTTTAGCTGCTTTACCATCCCCTCTTTATATCAAGCAGACAAAACTGCCAACCAACCACCAATCTCTCAATTCAAAATAAAAATTCATTATTCTTGTAGACTGTACGAAAGAAGAAAAATAAAAAACAAAAAAAAAAAAAAAAAAAGAAGAAAAGAAAAGAAAAGAAAAGAGGAAAAAGGAAAAAGGAAAAAGGAAAAAGACATCGGCTGTATCTAATCCCATCTCCTCACAATGTCCGGCGTGACCAACTACCCCAACGCCTCGCGCGACGCCCTCAAAGCCCAGTATGCTGGCCGGATGCTGCGCGACATCGACGGCCCAGCGGCCATTATAGATGTCGCTGTTGCGCGCAGGAATTGCCAGCTCATGCTCGACGCTGCAGATGCCCTCGGCGTTCTTTTCCGCTCTCATGTTAAAACTCACAAGGTATGTTACCACCATGAAGAAGAATCCAATTCCATAACATGGCTGTCAAGATATGATATCGGCTTTTTACGCAGGTTTGCATGGCATATACATATATATAAGAAATTGGAATTTCTGGCTGAATGCTTTCCCAAACAGACCACAGAGCTCACGAAGTTCCAAGTAGGGGAGAAGAGCGATCCCATTCGACTGGTGGTTTCCACGCTCGCAGAAGCTGAGCAGCTGCAGCCGTACCTGGAGGAATGCAAAGTTAACGGCAGATCTACAGACGTGAGGAGAAAAAAAAGGCCACCTTCTCTGCAGCGTTTTGAACATTTAAATTTTCTAATACCCTTCCATAGCTCATCTATGGTCTGCCCGTTCAACCCTCCTGCTTCAAACGGCTGGTAGCCCTCGGCAAATCGCTCGGGAAATCAAGCATATCCGTGCTCGTGGATGATCCAGACATCATCCCTTTCCTCTCCCAATACCGAGACCTCACCTCAGACACCCTCGGCGTCTTCATCAAACTCGACACGGGAAACAACAGAGCCGGCATCGCCCCAGACTCGCAGCAATTCAAAGATCTCCTCGCAGCCATCCACACCGCCGAGCACGATGGCAGCGCCGGTATATCCCTGCGCGGCTTCTACAGCCACCTAGGCCACAGCTACAGCTCAGACAGCACGAACGAAGCCATGGACTACCTGGCCCAGGAGGTCGAGCGGTCCGCGGTCGCCGCCGCCCACGCATGCACCGTGGGCAAATATGCTGGCCGCCGCTTCCTGCTCTCCGTCGGGGCAACGCCCACCACCACCGCTGCCCAGAACCTCACCCCGACCACCACCACCACCACCACCACCACCGGCGGCCCCGCGACGCCTGATCCCACCACCAAGCGCGTCAAGGAGTTACTTGACCGCACCAAGGCCTCGTGTGACATCGAGCTGCACGCCGGCGCCTACGTGACGCTGGACATGCAGCAGCTCGCCGCGCACGCCCGCCCGTCCTCATCCAACCTCTCCTTCGCAGACATCGCCATCACCGTCCTGGCAGAGGTGGGCAGTCTGTATCCGCACAGAAAGCAGCCAGAGGCCCTCGCCGCGTGCGGTAGCTTATGTCTCGGGCGGGAAGCGTGCCGTAGTTATCCCGGTTGGGGCGTCGTGACGCCCTGGCTGGAAGACGGGGAGGGGACGCGGACGGCGGAGGCCGGGTGGTATGATCCCGAGGGGGAGCGGAAAGGGTGGATCATGGACCGCATCAGCCAGGAACATGGGATTCTGGCCTGGCATGGCCCGCGGGATAATGTGCGGCCGCTGAAGATTGGAGAGAAGATTCGCATCTGGCCGAATCATTGCTGTATTTGTATTGCTGGGTTTAGCTACGTGCTGGTGGTGGATTCGAGCTTGGAAGGTGCCGAGAGGGATAGAGTGCAGGATGTATGGTTTAGCTGGCGTGGGTGGTAGACGGCATGGTTAAATGGTTATAGGTAGAATATTTCACTTAGGATTCAAAGAATTGTACTTCGTTTTGTCCAGCACCACCAGTTTGCTGAACAAATATTTGCAAATTACGGGTCACCTTGGGGAAGCAAAAACGGAGATCACATTTTTCTGTCATCGTCTCTACATGCCCTTTTGCTATGAACCTTTGATTGAAATTGGTGGCCCTCCGAAAAACGACCCATCTACCTCCCCGCGTACTATTTAAGACCTAACTTAAGCACTTGTATGTAGTTAAGTAATAGCAAAAGCCACCCAGTAAACCGACATTGGAACGGTTCACTTGGAGGGTTTTGCTCCATAACCAGCTCCTGTTCGAGGCAGAGAAAAAAACACCTTTTAGCACGTCTCTGCCTCACGATCTCTATCAATGCCATACACCCCCCCATCCTCATCATGTAACTATTAGCGCATCCTCCGCACGGTCTGCAATGAGAAGCCCTTCAATGACATCGTTGAGCCTCGAGCGGGTGTGCTGTGGCCCCCACTGTACTTGGCGGAATAAACATTATGTCCCCGTAGTTAACCCCCTTTTTTCCGCTCTAGGCAGCGTAATGCAATGGAGTGAAGCCTTGGGTGTCTTTTGGCTAAAAGTCTGGCTGCTGGCGTTCACACAGATGATATTCTGGATCAATCTTTCCGTTGTTTCACTGGTTCGCGGTTTGGTGGGAATCGAGGCCTGCCATGGAGCTGTAGCTCTCAATGCTATTAAATATGGCATGACCGTACATGGCTGGATGCAAATTCCTCGTGTTCTGCCTCAAACGACGGGAGCGCGAGATGTGATTGCATTTCACACGCCAAAGTCCACGTCTGATCAAAGATGGATGGAGGCAGTCGGAGTCGACCCGTGATCCTTGAAGGTGATGTTCTTCGGAAAATAATTTCTATTGGCGATTCAAAACACGTCCTCCCCTGGGAGTAATAAGGGTTTGCTCCGTGCCAAATCAACAAGCTAAGAATACTACAGCTACTTTTTTGTGAGATAGCGAGGCAAACGCCAGTTTGCCTAAATATCCGTATCGCCAACGGCCATATCTACTCCTGCGACCAGAAGCGAAATCTACTAAATATTTAGCCACTCCAGCGAAAACTCCACTGTAAAGTGAAGAGGCGTTTGATCCAGAGAATTTGGTGTTGAAACTTCGCTAAAGGTTCCCACCATTGCTTGAACTAACTATAGGTTGAGTAAGGCTTAAGGACATGCTCTCAATCGCCCTTAACAGCGGATAATAGCCCAAACAGTCCTTTTTCAAGGCATCAGCCCTGAGGTCAAGATATAGCTGCATCGCATCGAATATTCCCATGTTTTGCGGCCACATACAATGCAGTTTCCCCTTCACAGTTCTCTCCAAAAATATCATTACCGGATTTCTGAGCTGACTCAATCAATATGTTGAGAATAGATTGGGACTTATGTACTTTCACTTGAAGCATGATGGGTGTTAAACCCATTTCGTCTGCGTGGGTAGGATTTGCGCCCGCCTTCAAAAGCATTCTAGTCACGGCTTCATGCCTTGTCAGGAATGGCCCAGTGTATCGCCGTCCGTCCCTCCCCGTCCTCTTCAGTGACGTTGTAATTATTCTTCACAAATAAATCCACCATTTCCACATTGCCTGCTGCCGCCATCACATGCATAATACCTCAGGAAATATACCTTGTTTTGGTCTTTGTAAGGGATGCAACTGAACATGAGCCCTCCCATTTTCAATAATTGCATGGTGACAAATTCCGATTTCCATCTTGAAAGGCATTCAAAGATCCCGTGGTAAAAACTCCGCCAGGAGAGTCAGGATTTTCATGAATGACTGACCTCTTCATTATCTGGAGACCTAAACCGCAGAAATAGAGTTATTGTGTGAAGGATGCTGGCGAACCATTTTTGTGTCTGTATCAAGGCATTTAAACTATCCATCTCCATGAAGCTTCCCAAGTGGAGGGCTATTTCTGCTGGCATTTGCCACAGGTCGCTTCTTTGACTGGAGGAAAAATTGAAGGGAACCATTGGGCCCTTTTCATTCCTTCTCTAAATTAATACAAGTCAAGGTGAAAAATAGCTGACTGGACAAAAGGACACTTACTGAGATTCCCCCGGGGGGGGAGCATCTGCAAAGAAGATCATATGTTACATATCCCTTTCTCTGCAAGATGGCTAGGCCTGTGTATTCAAAATGAGGAGGAAGCTACAAGATGCACAGGCTTGGTTGGGAAAGATTGAATGAAGGGTCAACTTAGCGATGATTGGTCAAAGATTTTGTGATCACTGCGGGTTTGGAAGTTGTAAAGTTTTGTCCTGTATAGAAGTGATAGGGAATAATGTGAGCAACACACCAGTACATGCAAATAACACTTTTTGATAGGGTGAGCTGGCCTTTTTTCATCTTGTTGATGAAAGAGGCTGTTCTGTATTGATATAAAAAGCACTTGGCAAGCAAAAAGGGGAATACATCTAGTATAACTAGTTACATTAGATCCATCATGCTTGTATTGTATTTTGTTTCAAGTTAGTTACTCCGTACTTTAATATTAGTTACTAATAATACATTCTCGCTTGTCCCTCTTTCCCTCCTCTCAACCCTCAACACTCAGTTAGTTTAGATTAGAGGCTTGGAGATTAGAGGAGAGATTGGAATTAGAATTAGAAAGAGTTAGAAATAATTAGAGTCTTGAGAAATATGAAAAATCAATATCATGACGTGTTATAAATAAAGATGATCTGTGAGACGTGTCTAGTGTATGTACTCCGTAGTTTTAAGGGTTCGAACCCATGCTGAGCTGTTTTCCAGTTGAAGTTAGCATCATGTTCAAGTGTTTTTGCACCACATTCAACTGTAACCCTCTGTATTTTGACGGAGGGAGAAGATGTTTCAAGGTTTGTTTATAAAAAGTTCCTCCTGATTGGTTGGCGATTGTTGGCGGCTAACTACCAAAATAAGCGCAAAGCTCTCAGCGGCTATTTGGCAACAACGTCCAAGAGACAGACTGCCATTGTCCGGATAGACACAACTCGTTTTCTGCATGGAGACCTGACAGGCAAACGTGTGGGAACTTTGATAGCAGCAAGCCAGAGCCATGAGTTGCAGAACAATTTCAAGGATGAGTTTCAAGGATTCGATGCTTTCAGTTGTCACTTTCTTTCTAAATGCTGAGATCATCACTTCCTGTCCCTTGTTGACAGGAACCATATACATGCACATCCAGATCAAACCGCTCATTAATATAATTGATGAGTCTTCCCCAGTTGTTACTATTATTCATCGATCTTGCCATAGAAGTCTTTCAAGAAATTGCTTCGAAACAAATGTTTTGGTTCAAAAATATCAAGCAACAACGCTTGGCGCTAGCCCCTGATAGCCGAAGTAGCGGAAACGTCACCGAGGAGCAAGACTCGGCTCGGCTCCAATCGCCCTAAATTTGCGGGGGACGGTTTCCGGCGGCAGGCAAAGCTATCAATAACAGGCCTCTTCCCAGTGCAATGATGATATGACGACGACGATATAATTACGTGCTTCTATTGTTAACTCTCTGTTTTTACTAGCGGCTCTAATATACTATTTTCTTCTGAGATTTTATTTTCCCATACTAGCCCTCGCTCATCTTTGCTACATAAACATTAGGAAACCTGTCGCCGCCGATCAAAAGCTTCACTTCTTTAATTGTTTCCACGTAGTTTGATTATCATGTCGCAATCTCAGAGCAGCATGAATTTCCATCTTCCGGCAGATCTGGTTTCTTACATTTCCTCCCTCGACAAATTCATCGAGAACACCATCCTCCCCTTACAGCATGCTAGGGATAACAATCGTTTCTTCGACTATCGACGAGAACATGCACGAACTGATTGGGATAATGGAGGATTACCACGTAAAGAATGGGAAGCGTTACTAGGTTAGACAAACACCTATAAGATATAACTTCTTGTGGAACAAATACTATTATTACATATTCAAACATAGTACTAATGCTCCCCTTTCATATCTTAGCCCAAGCACGCAAACTCTCTGACCAAGAAGGCTTCTACCGATTCTCCCTTCCCAAAATATACGGTGGGCAAGCTAACCCGAACACAAACCTCTGGATGTGCGCTATCCGCTACCACCTAGCCTCGCACCCAGTCTATGGAGGCGGCGTCTCTCTCGCAAACGACCTCCAAAACGAACACAGCGTCATCGGCAATTTCCCAATCGTGCTCATGCTGCACCACTTTGGGAACGAAGAGCAGCGCAGCACGCTCATCCCCGCCCACCTGAAGGGTCAGTTCCGCGCGACCTTCGGCCTGACAGAGCCCAAACACGGCAGTGATGCCACCTTCATGGAGACAGCTGCCCGTCCCGTTCAGCGAGAATACCCGGCAGGTTCAGGCGCTGCCAACGCCGTGGACGGCTTCGTAATCAACGGCGCCAAAAAGTGGCAGACGGGCGCGCACAACTGTACGCACATGATCATCTTCGCGCGGACGTCCGGCGCCCCGGGCTCGGCACGGGGGATCACCGCCTTCCTCGTGCCACGCGAGACACCGGGCGTCAACATCCTCAGCTACGAATGGACGCTTAACATGCCCACGGACCACGCGACGGTGGCTCTAGAGGACGTCTTCGTGCCGCGCTCTGCGGTGCTGGGGGAGCTGGATAGGGGTCTTGCGATCGCACAGACGTTCGTGCACGAGAACCGGATCCGGCAAGCGGCGTCTTCGTGCGGGGCTGCGCGCTTCTGTCTCGACAAGGCGATCGAGTATGCCAACGAGAGGGAGATTTGGGGCAAGGGAAAGACGCTCTCGGATAACCAGGCGATTCAGTTCCAGGTGGTGGAGCTGATGACGCAGGTGGAGATGTTGAGATTGTTGATATTGCGCACGGGGTGGGAGATGGATCAGGTCACGGCGGAGTGTGGGGGTCATATCGACTCGCCCGTGCCAGGGTCCAAGAAGCCGTGGGTGGAGATTGAGAAGCGGTTGACGCACAAGGTGGCCATGTGTAACTTCTGGGCGAACCGGTTGTGTTGTCAGGCGGCGGATAGGGCTATTCAGGTAAGTAATATAATTATAATATTCATAAATACCCCTTTGCGATGCGTTTGCCTGAAAGGGGAACTGCTCACGCGTGGTTTAAATTTTTTTTCTTCTTAAACAAAAAATAGATTCATGGCGGCAACGGCTACTCCCGTCACAAGCCGTTTGAGCACATATACCGTCATTTCCGTCGCTATCGCATTACGGAGGGCTCCGAAGAGATCCAAATGCGCAAGATTGGTGCATATCTGTTTGGATTTATCGGGCCAAATAGGATTGAGAAATCCACGAGGCAGGCGAAGAAGGCTCGGGAGGAAGAGAAAGAGGAAACTGGGAAGGCAAAGTTGTGAAACCTGAGGTATCATAATGTTTTTCGTTTGTTGAGCTTTTGCAAACGTGGGTAAGCAACCGTACTGGAATCCAGATATC